AATGCACTCACTACCATGACCGTCGTCCAGTAATGCTCGCTGGACATGACGCCTTCATACTCCTGCGAAGTATACATAATCCTGACAAATCTAGACGCAAGCATCGGAAGTTTTGCTCACCTGGACACGAAGATGACGAAGGTCTAACCCTCCATAGGCCTCAGCCATTATGGCCGCCGCGAGCAAAAATAACCAGTTCAGCTAACAGAGGAAATTAGAAGGCAATTGACGGCGGTTAACCGAGGGTTATATCAGTCGACGAGCTGCTCTGCCAGTTTTACATTAGTGTACAAACGGATTTCTGACAGTGTTTCAGGACGTGGTGGGTTTTCGCCTGGCAAGCGTTCTCCCTATAAAAAGCCACAAGTGTCCGCTTAACAACACTGCGAAGTGGCGGATGTGACTCGCCACTGAATAAAGTCACTGCCCACAACTACATACTGACAAGCCGACCAGAATCCTAATGTAATTTTTTCCTGACAAGTTTTCTCTACAAACGGAATGCCCAGCCTGTTTACACTACGCCTACTAGAACCCAACTTGTCGTCATGTTTTGACGAATTTATACCTCAAGATTAATTTTACAATTTCCAAAGCTTGGACAACTTTCGGCTTACTGCCGATTACATACGTAGCAACGTGTTTGTTGCGAAACATAAATTGCTTGTAAACGTTGATCATGCCTGGTCAGGTTTGTCTCGGAAATTCGAGAATATACTATTTATTTATTTATTTATTTAATCTACGAAACAGCAACGTTATCCAAGTTGAGAAATACTTAACCAACGGATTCCAACTAGACCGAAAAAAACTGGGATTTGGTACGGAAGCTATTGTCTGATGATACTGCGCATTTAATTGATGAAAAATAAATAACAAATGATATATGCCCGCATCTACACTTGCATTTGTACATTGTCATGGATATACATTATAATGTCCCTCAAAGTTTATTTTATAACATATAATATTTTTTAAACCTTATAGCTTCCGTAATGTATTTACATTATTTTAACTAATCATTCTAGTTAGGATTTGGCGGCGTCCGTATCCGGATTTGCCTGTCACTGTGGCGTACATGGGGACAGTCACAGGATGCCTGCGCCTACAGAGGGACCATGGGTGGCTTGCGCTGCACCACCCATAGTTCGATGCACACAACCCATATCCGGTGTAAACCCGAAGTGTTAAGACGGGGGCATGCGGATGGGAGCCACGTTTCATCAACGGAGCCGGCCCACCCTCCTTCAACAGGCAAAACGGAAGCATTACGGCCTAATTGGGAAATCATACACACCAGACGTACACGAGGCGGTGGCTGGACCGTAGCCCGTTCCACCCAGAATGAAACCACTCTTTGAGCCTAGCACCGTCACGAGGACAGGGCACCCCGTCCCCTCCAGCGACGACCAACTATCTCCTGGAGCCAGTATGGACGAGGTAGTGGGTAATAGACAGGTAGGCACCTTGTCAACATTCACATCAGGCGCATCCACACAGGGGAGCTCAAGCAACATCTACTTCTGAAATACAAGACTACTCATCACGCAGGCAAACGTACCACATACGCCGCCTTATTGGCCTGGGTTAGTAAATTGAATGGGAACATACTCATGGTGTTTCTATGCGGCATACAATTGTGCCTTCTCCGGCACCTAAGAAACCGCCCTTTTGGGTAGTTCACGGAATTCGCGTCGATCAACTTTGCCTTGGATGCGCAACAACTGAAATCAACATGAGTTTGTCATAAACTCACCTTCTTCATGTTCTGGTAATATTATTTTCGGTGTGCTCGAATGTCGTTCTACTGCACCAAGTTAACCGTACAAAAGCGGTATGAAGATCCTCGTGGAATTCATTCGGTATACCTATATACATAGATTGGCTTCATCTGTGTCCAATGCCAGTTCGAACGCGACATATGTACATGCGTTTCTCCAAACTTAAGTGTGAGCTGTCCCAAACTGGATAGAGACACATTAGACATCATTCTCAATGGTACGACAAACGTGTATGGGTTTCGTTTGGAGGTCAGGCTAACAACCACTTTAGCAGGCATGAGAAAAAGCACCCCATACGAACTGCTGATGTTTTCTTCCACATTTAGACGTGACTGCCTTAAACCTTGGGCATCCATATTTGAAGGAATCCGATGTGGCAATAGTAAAGCAACTGCTAGATAGAATGATGACTAGACTATTGGTACAGTGAAATAGTGTGCCCTTAGGTGTTGTCCTCTACAAGTACAGTCTGGTTTGAGTGACTGATGTGGGAGATCACACAGCATGCGAATGCGATACAGTGTCCGTTTCTGGCTCTCTGTGTCTCCGACCGGTTCTGTCATGTGCTGCCCGAGGCATGTGCGCCTACTCAAAGAACGATTGATGCGCAACCTTTGGTATTGATAAGTGACATCAAGTAAGTCCCGCTGCTCACTGTCAAACATGCGACTTTCCAAACAGTGTTCACATTTATTGTGCAAATGTCCAACTACTCAACCGTTTATACCTACCGACCTTTACTCTACTGTGGCCATAAGCTATTTGCTAACGGTCTATATCATACGTTCCAGGTGCAGCCCATTCGGTACTCAAAAAACCATTGTCCCTATGCGCCGATTCATTTCCGATGTTATATAATAACACACTGACGTACCATTCCCGTTAAATGCAACCTTTTACTTAATCCATTCAAATGATTGGCCATATGCAATGCAACTTCTGGTAGGCGTCTCTGCACGTCTGCCTTCCATCCGGTTAATAAGTGTGTTTTCATAGGCCCCCGGTAAATTCAGTATGGCTGAGGGATAACTGGAACTATAACTATACGCACTCTCTTCACTAGCCTGCGGAGTGGAACATGGAATGACAATATCGTGGTAGTCGCTAGTCGGTTAATTGTCTGGATTGTTCACTTCGCACAGAATTTCCAGGGAAATTTCTCTTCGAATGCATAATCCAAACTTGTCACACGAAGGACAATCGTTGAGCATTATGTTACAAATGTCAAATTTGACATTTTATGTGTACTGTAAACGGCCAAGCGATGATAACCTCTTGATTCAAACGTATCCATCGAACTGGAAACATACACAATAATTTGCCACCCTAGCATTGATCCGTAGCAAGCACACAAATCGCTCGGAAATACCGCACTCACATCAATTACGAATGAGCTCATGGATAGACTGAACCATTATTCTGCGACGCACCGGCTCTCTAAGCATCATGCAAGTTAACATTGAGCAGCTAGTCAAGCTACAGTTATGCTTAGCAATATCATGGACCCGACATAGTGATATGAATCACGACCGAATAATAATACGAAAATGAAGATGTCATAGCTCACTCTCGGTATGTAACCATACTAGACTCCGCTTGAGGAGGTAGCAAGAATGGCATAACATAGATCATGATGAGTACAATATCGGAATGAGCAACATGTGAAGTCATCGCGAAATACAACCGAGTTAAATAAGCCTAAGAACGTTAGGTTACCTGTGGCTTATCCGTTCTATGCAGGTGCAATAATGATACCACATTGCACCAAGTCAGTAGTTAATCATTCTAAAATGAAACTGCACCCAAGCCCGAGTTACATGCGGTATATAGAATAAGGATGACACCAAAATGAATGACGGAGATGGCGTAAGGAAATTTTCAAATTAGCAGGGAAAT